TCGGGAGAATGTCGATTGGCTCTTTGAGATGCTGAAGAGGTTCATCTCTGCCCAGCAAGCCACGGAGGAGAGGAGAAAATTACCTGATCCCCCTCAACCACTGCCACAGTATAAGCCACCTCCACACCGAGAGGATCTAGTGCCACCACGGTACAACACTACTCCTCTACCGTATCATCCTACACCGCCACAATACAATCCGGTGCCCCCACCATACAATCAGGTGCTACCACAGGACCACCTGATCCTTCCCCAGCATAATCCAATTCCTCTCCACCAGGACCTAGCTTTACTTATGATGGACCCAGGCTATATCAAGATGTACAAAAGACTTAAACTATCCACTTTCGCAGGGGCATCCATTTTTGAAGAAGTTGAATACTAGTTAGCAGAGACAGAGGAGGACTTCACAACCCTTGGAGTAATTCCCGAATAAAAGGTTATTCTTGCCACTTACATGCTCGTGGGTGAGGTAGGGCATTTGTGGTAACTGAAGTAAGCTACTCTATCCACTACAATCACCTAAGAACAGTTCCTAACAGCTTTTAATGCTGAATATCTTCTAGAATACCTCCGGCATCTGAAGGAGATAGAGTTTGTGCACCTGGTCAATGGAGATTTATCAGTGTCAGGGTATGCTTGAAAATTCTTAGAGTTAGACTGATACTCTCTTGAGAGCATGACAGACGAAGTTAGAAAGGTAAGAAGGTTTGAGTTGGGTCTCCGTCCTAAAATTAGACAACAGTTGTATGTTTTCAAACTCAACACCTACTTAACATTCTTGGCCAAGGCACAGATTATAAAAAAGAACCTTCATATTTTTCCCTCAATAGTGGGAAACTCCAAACCCCCAGTTCCACATTGCAGCCCAGCACCTACTACATTGAACCCAATAGAACAAAAGACCAAGACCCGGAACTCAAGCTCCTCCCCAAGCCCCGGTAACAGGACGCAGCAAGATTTGCCAACACTACAGCAATGATCATGGAGATCGACGTTGCTATCACCTCAACAACACCGGTTGTATATGCGGAGTGTCCAGCACTACGCAAGAGAATGTCCGCGAAATCAGAATCAAGTCAGACCCGCAGTTCAGGGCAGAGTCTATACACTCACCCAACAGGATCACTCCCGTGGCTTTTCACGTAGTGCCGATGTTAGCAGGGTTGCCACGCGGCGTGTTCTAGTTCGCTGAGACTGCTGACTGGTCTGTCCTACATGGTCAAACTTTTCTTTTTTACGTTTTAACCTGCTACTTTTAAATTTTCACCCATTTTTCCTAAATTTGTTTTCAATTTCGTCCGTAATTCATTTTTTCTCAAAATTTCAATAAAATTAACTTAAAATAAATTAAGTTAATTATTTATATAATTTCTTTATAATTAAACAGAAAATCCCGGGCCGATTTTTGGTCCCGGGTATTATAGTTATTGTGAGAAAAAAAAACCTAAATATATGATATCAAGTATTAGTTTCATTTCATAATAATGCTTACAATATTTTGTAAATTATAAAACCCCTTGATTTTATTAAAAAATTAAAAACAAAGGTAACATTTATTAACATCCAAGCTTTTTGTATTATATACAAATAATGTTAAGTAACCTATAATTTTTTGAACTTAAAAACTAGAAATTAATTTGTGATTGCATAACAGTTGTGTGTAAAATAGAAGCTTACATAAACAATGGTTTTAACGGGATGATTTAGCCGTGACAAAAATAGTGGTTCATATGGAGCTTATGAAAATAGAAATTAGTTCAAATGCAACAACATCGACTTCTTGATGATTGCTCAATAGGAAAAAAAAAACAAGCTCACAACGAGAATCACCATTTTTATAACAAAACCCAAAAGAGATAGAAACTAATGAGAGATTAAGAAGATAGAATTTCAAAGCAACTCAAAGAGTGATAAATGATGGCGTGATATTTTGAAGATTTGATAAACTTTGAGCACAAAAAAACGTGCTTATTCAAGTTTTTAGCATTTGAATTTGAAATTTGAGGGTAATTTATGAGTTTTTAAAAGGCATCAGTAGATTCGGGAAGAAAGGAAAGCTAAGCCCTTGATTTATTGGCCCATTTGAGGTTTTAGAGAGAATTTTAGCAACTGCCTACCGACTAGCATTACTCCTGGAGTTATCTCGAGTTCACAACGTATTTCATGTATCAATGCTACGAAAGTACAATCCTAATCCATCTTTTGTGATACCTTACAAACTTCTTTAAATTCAGAAGGATCTATCCTATGAAGAAGTTCATGTCACTGTCTTGGACTGCAAGGAGAAGGTGCTTCGAAACAAAGTGATTCCCCTAGTCAAGATCTTGTGGCATAATTGTACTCAAGAGGAAGCCACTTGGGAGCTAGAAATAGAATTTTGAAACAAGTATCCCCATCTATTTAATGTTTTGTAATTTAAATTAACTTTATGTAAGGATATTTTATATTAATAAAATAAATTTAGATGACCCAAATTTTTTTAAGGATGAGAGATTTTAACATACTAAAATGACATCGTTTTGGGAAACCCCAAAACAGTGTCGTTTTACGCAAAGAAAAAAAAATAAAAACCAAAGGCGTGTTTACCTCTGGTCGAGGAAGGTGAAGAGGCAGAGGCATGTATGCCTCTGCCATCGGCCAGAAAATGAGGAGAGGAGACCTACACGACGAGGAAGAAGAATCGTGTAGGACTCCTCCCCGTCCCTCCCTATAAAACACGAAGGGAGGGAAGGCGATCAGTGCAAGAAGAGAGAGAGAGAGGAACATAGAGAGAGAAGGGTCGTGGCTACCGTCAGTCAGCAGCAGAGAGAGGAGAGGAGGAAGAAGAAGAGGAAAAAGAAGGAAGAGAGGTCGGAGCTGCGTGCAACGGTGTGCAGGAGAAGAAAACGATCTGCGCAATGGCTTGGGTCACATTTGGCTGCTCTACGGCTCCCTCCGGCACGATTCCACCAGATTTGTGGTGGATCTGAGGGCGCAAAGCACTAAGAGGTGAATTTTGGCCAATCTGTAGCGGCAATCGGCGGCAACCGGTGGTGGGACCCGGTTGATCTGATGATAGCCCGTATAGAGGCGCACAAACTTCTAATGGTTACGGACAGTGAGTCCTAGGGACCCGGTTCGAGTAAGTGAGTTCAAAAAACTCTAATGGTTTACTTTTTTAAATTTAGAGTTTATTAATTCTATTTAATTTTAATATAATAATTACTTATTTGGTTTTAAATTAGAAATAAGTCTAAACACGAGTGTTTAAAATTAGGGGATAACTAATTCATTACTAACTCAATACAGATATCACTACAACAGGTTGATCTTATACATCAGAGATAATTTTACAAACGAGATTTAGACAGAAATAAGGTAAGTGCGTAAGTACTTACAAATGTAGTTTAATCTTTCTAAGATATTAAAATTATGACGTTTAATAATTGGTAATTAGGCGCATGATTCGAACGAAATTTTACTATTTTTATGGTGTCCTTATTTATGTCTACTACTGAAATTGTTGATGAATTATTTTGGTTATATTTTGATAACTGAATTCATATATATACTGGTTGTTATGTGATTAAGAGTATATTAAGGATATGTAGAAGAGTATAGGGTGATAAATAGTTACAATATGTGTGTTACAGGTATATAACATATTAAATAACAAAAAATTAGAAAATTTATTAGTGCGTTGAAATAAATAGATAGACATTAAAATATTTAGAAAATCTACTTAACCAGTATTATCGAGGGGTGGGTATGCGTATAGTCTTTTGGCATGTGACTATGGTGAACCATACCCATGTATATGGGTTTAGCTGAACGTGGCGAAGCAACAAGTACTGTAAAATTACGGATTGAATACTGTGTACCGTAAACTGTAAATTTGAACTAAACTGTAATATATTCATGTAGTAAAGGGAACCCTTAGTGCTCTCGTTGATACTAGCAGAAATGGCATCGTGCGATAAAACTAATTTATATGATATAAATCGATATAAATGAATGGGAAGTCGTGTGTAACGTTTATGATACTGAAACAAAGTGTTAGTATCTGCTGAACTGTTTACTGTCTAAATCATGATACGAATATTGAATGATGATATTTATTGAACTATTTATGCCCTGAGTTATGATACTGAAATAATAGATTCTAAATGTTTACTGAATAAACTGATTTGCAAGGTTTGGTTAATGAATTATGGTATAAATATCACGTGTTTTCTTAATTAAAGAGAAAAGTATTTTGAACCATTTTTGTTGGCTGGTTTATGTTTTCTAATAACTTGGACAGATTATCCTATTATTTGTTGGTACTTACATGCTTACTGAGCATGTTAAGTTCACCCTATTTTTTTTTTTATTTCTTTCAAGTCAGAATATTTAGAACCCCGTTCTTGAGCAATAAAAGACTTGTTAGGATATCGCTTAATTTTTATTTTAATTTAAACATTACTTAATGTTAATTATTTTATTTTTAGTGAATATTTATTTTAATGTTTAAACATGTCTCATGGATATTGAATATTTTGAGCTAAATATGTAAGGGATATACTTTTATTATTTTAAGATTTGTTACGCGAAGTATTTTTATATATTATTTTATCATGATATAGTTTGCATACGGTCAGGATTCTGTATGGAAGTTCGGGCTATCATATTATCTGTAAAGCTAATGCTCCTCTAGCCTTTTCCAATTGTACAAATCAACTTCAATTGTTTTCAATATTTCTTTTCGAATGAGTAGTTTTCTAATATTTATTTTTTTTTATTTTAAAGTTTTTATTATAAGATAAATGTATCCAAATTTCTTTTTGAATAAATTACAATTCTATCTTTATATTAATTAACTAATTAACATTTTACAACTATAAAACTGAGTAAGAAACTTCATAAATACATGCTATGCTAGTTGCAACTAGAAATAAATTGTCATGTGTAAATGTATTATAATATTATAATTAATAATAACACGGTATTATATATTAATTTGATTTTTAAATAATTCTAATCAATTTATTTCGAGAAAATGTGGGTAATTAATTATTTTTTACATGCTTAAAGAGACCAAATAAAATTCGTAAAAACATGTGGATGATATATAGATATCATATAAAGAGAATAGATATGATTGGAAGTAAGCTATTTAGAAATTTTGTAGATAGTGAAAAGAGCAAAAAGAACAAGGCAAAGAAAAACAACACAAGCAAGGAGAGAAAGAACAATGGCGACTGCGACTTGAACACAGAACTTGCCGAAGACATTGCAGACTTTGTTCCATCGAAGACGAGAGTTGCCTTCGTATCCCATCAATCCGATTGCTGCTGCCGCTCCATTGCTGGAGAAAAGTAGAGCTACCATCACTAAATCGATCACTGTTATCATCATCATCATCACTCCGCTCTTTCTTACTTTCTTTCTCGTCAGCAACACCATAGAAACGACGCCGTATGCGCATGCCATTGCGTTTATCACCGTGCAATACCTACACATATATACAAGCATATATATATATATATACCGTGCAATACCTACATATATATATATATATATATATATATATGTACGCATATATACATGCATACGTATACCACCAGTTCAGTACTAATCTTAATTTTTTTTAATTATTTTGGTCGAATTTATCTTAAATTAAACATGATTTTTCTATAATTCTTTTTTAATTTTACGAAATAACTTCGTAAATCATAAAATCAAGTTATGATTATGATTAATTTAATCTCTCTCCATTTCTTTTTAATTTCAATTATACTACTATATAAAATTTTGTTTTACTTACATGTATTTTGAATCCTCAGATTAAAATTAAGAGAGAAAATATTTTTTATCATCTAAAGATTAAATAAATTGCTAAGAAATTCTATATGAAATATTTAGCTGATAAAAAATTCAAATAAATTAATTACATATAATTGAAAGCTCAAAAAACAGATCTATTACAATTGGGATTTTTTTTTTTTAAGAAAATATATAGTAGGTGTATATATAAATTAAAGGAAGTAATTATCAAGTGAATACATAAATTTAAAAATGACCCAATTAATTATTCTGTGTGTACTCGTTTCTAAAAAAAAAATAACTAAATTGAAATAAAATTTAAAATTTTGCATCATAAAAATAAATCAAGGAGTAAGTATCTAGTTCTAATTAAAATTATTAATTGAATAATCTTTAAAATTAAACGAGAAAAATAAAAATAAATAAATAGAGAGAGAGAGAGAGAGAGAGAGAGAGAGAGATAGAAAATAAACATACACAAAAGCAGACAAGTAATGAGCCTTGGCAGTGGCAGGAACATAAACTGGTGGAAGATTTGGCAAGAGCTCAAGAGAAACCAGCTTGGTCTGTTTATTAACTCCCAGTATAATTGCAGCTACTAGTGTCAACACCACACCCAAAACCCTCATCATCAACTCAAATCCATTCACTTTCCTATTCTTTCTTTCCAATTTTTGATCATGAGTCTTGCTCTGATCAGTACTGAAAACAGTGGGGTTGAACTTATCACCATGTTGGTGATCTTGATCCATCTAGTTTCCAAAAAGATGTAAAACAGGAAACTTCTAGCTGTTCCTATGAGAAAATGGAGATGAGTACGGAGATGGGGTGAGAGAAAATTTGGAGTCAAGAGAAGAGTATAAATAGAAGGGAGTGGTTAGTTTGGAGAAAGATGGTTGTGTAAATATAGGTGTAAAAATGTGTAATGATGTGGACTTTTTGTCCCTTTTTTTTTGGGTTTATTTTTTTCAATTAAATAATTTCTTTTTTTATTTAAATCTATACATCAGACACGAATCTTGAATCTTTGAAAGAATCGGATTTTTACCCTTTAATTTTTAAAAATAAAAAAAAATACCCACCAAACTTAAAATTTAAATATTTATAATTAACATAAAATCCTAAATACACCTTTGAATATGTGAAGAAATGTGTCTCTAAGATTATTAATTCGAATAATAATCTTTTTTAAATATCAATTTGAATTATATTTTTTAAAAAAACTATTTCAATGATAAATTTTTTTCTTAAGAAATTCAATAATATCCCTATATTGAAATATATTTAACTATTTGCATCCAATTATTATAATTAGTATTTTAAAAATATCCTAAGAAATTCTCAACTAGAAAGAAAAGAAATTAATGTGAGAAAATGATATCTCAAAATTATTCGAGCTTTCCAGAAAATAAATTAGGATACATGTGTCTCTGTGAGTGTATATATGGGTGTCGTATATAATACATAATAGCTAGTGTTTGATAATGAAATTTGGCAGTGTCAGGAATTTAATGAGAGAGTGACACAGTAGACATTAATGGCAAGGAGGTTGGCAATTGACAAGTATGGAGAATTGAAAATTTTACTTTGTGGTTTATCTTAAATTGCTTTGTCTTCCAGGCCAGATTTCCATGTTTGAAATGGCACCCACCTATCTATCTCGTCTTATCACTTGACTAGTTATATATACATACACATGTACATACACACACACACACACATATATATATATATATATCTTTCACATGCATTCATATTGCCTTTTTTTTTTTTTCTCTCCCTTTTTTGACCATGTTAGATTATACCAGTTATTATTATCCATTAATTCACACCCACCTAACAAATTATAATCAAATTAATGAACTAATTATGTACGTCGGAGGGTAGATATCTTCCACCCTTAAAAGAGTGAGAATTTTGAGCTATAAGTACGTATTTTTGTTAAAAAATTATATTACATATATTTTTATTAAACGATTGAGTTATTATTAGTGAAAATGTATAAATTTATATATAAATTTAATGCAATAATTAATTTGCATGTATTTTTCAAATTAGTTTATAGGTGTAGGTTAGAGTAAATTCCAATGAATACCTGTTGATTTGTAGGGTGCCAATATGTAGGACTTCAATATCTATAAGAAAGTTGGAAAATGTAAATTTGTGGGGAACTGGTGTTAGCTCAGACTATTATATTTTATATGTATGTATGTATGTACATGTGTGTGTGACAATTGTTCCAAAAAATAAGTTATGAGATTTCACATGCATCAATCATATAATAAATTATGATATCATCAGATTTCAGTTTCCCATTTGTCACTCAAGGTATGGGCTTTGCTGCTGCCTGCCTCAAACCCATGCTGGCAAAATCATATATATTACTTTGCTTCATATTATTATTACATAAAGTATGATATATGTGATTAGGGTTCTTACAGATCCAAGAGAAATCTGATTTCTCTAACTTGATTTTATCACTGATATAAGATGAAAATCTTTTTACACAAAAATATATATATTATTTTAATTCTAATAAATATTGCGGTAACCCTTTAACGTCAATTATATTATATTTTACGTTATGTAACATATTATGTTTTATGAATAGTGTAGATATATACATTTAATTAAAGAAAAAATACTGATGGGAGACTTTATCTCGATATCAACTATATATATTTCCCTCACAATTCAAAGTTTCTCTCTTGTCATATATATTTTGTATTAAGATTATATTAGAAAAGATCTTGTAAGTTTTTGTAAAATTTTTAAGTTCATCCATATTTTAGCAAAGGATTATATAGTCTATTAAAATAGAATATTATAAATTTTAATTTCAAGTAAACTTGGACAATGCATTTTACATTCCATAAACTTGATCAAAGCTATATATATATATATTATTCAAATTCACATAAAATTCTGTATGAAATTAATTTTTATCATTTTTCTAATTATAGGTAGAAATTATAAATGAATTTCATAAAAATTTTGTATTAATTTCCTAGCTTAACTATCGAAATTAATTTAAGTTTTATTTCTAAAAATTTAATATATTCTTAATTCGTTTTGGTACATTAACCTTAAGACCTTCTTCAATTCAACCATATGCAAATCATACCCCCCCACAATGTGCAGCGTCTGTGTATAATTAACCACAATCACATTCTTGAACAAACAAAAAATCTAAAACTACTCTAAAAATCAATTTACTGAACCCACAATATGTGAATATGTATGTAGTATCATTACTGAACTTTGTTATTGTGTATATGCAAAACAATGTTAATAAATAATTGGTACATACTTAAAACATAGGTTATTGACTAAGAATGGTAGAAAAATTTGTGATATGGTATAACTAAATTCGTCCGTGTAAGTGAGTTCTGGTCTTTAACTAAAACCGAACTGATATAGGTTGATTTGTGCATGATTTTTTTATTTTACTATATCGAGTATGTTAGTTTTAATTTAAATATATTCTAGAATTTAATTTAATTATTTGAATAATATTATATTTTTAATCTTAATTAAAAATTATAGACATGATGTAATAGTAGCAACTCGAGTTAGTTTTAACCCGAAATTTGTATCAAATCAAATTATATACTAGACATGACGTATATGATACAATAATTTTCGTGATATATATATATATATAATAATAATATATGTGTGTATATGTACCAAAAAACATGATACTGCTGGGATGGTTGGTTGAATATTTAAGTTAGCCCATTAACCATTCAATCGCACTGCCTTTATTATTATTTTCTTTTCAAATAATGAATCTGAAAAATTCTGTTTCTTACAGAATAAATACATATATATATATATATGTATGTGTACATACATACATATTGGTAGCTGGATCACCAACTGGAACAGCTAGTATTTTATATATATACGCAATACAGAAATAGGTGATTAAGGCTACGATTAATGAGTTTGGGAGGTAGTTGTCGAGTTAAATTCACAACATGCATTAATTGATTAAAATCTTCTTCTTCTTCTTCTTCTTTTATCTTAATTTCTCTAAACTCTAGGTTAGGCTAATTAATTAAGGTCTAATGAGATTAATTTTTGGTGTTTAATTATGAAATTAAAAAAATTAAGATGGTTGAAAATTAATCCAACAATTTCTAAGTAAATTCTCTTTATTCTAATCTAATAATATAAGAGATGATTAGAATATGTTTTTTTTTTTCTTTTGAAAGTTTGAATTGCAATAATTCCGGCCAACCTCGTGATGGTAATTTAATTCACATTTTTTAAGGTAGAGATCAAATTTTTACTATAAAAAATTTTCATACAATAAATTTTATTATATATATATATTAAGATTAATATAAAAAAATAAAATTAATAATTAATAATATGGAAAAGATCATAATTAATTTAATTATTAATAATTTACATTTAACAATATGAACAAGAAAGTCTGCAAGGAAAAGAAAAGAAAAAGAAAAGAAAATTGATTAGGAGGAATTTTCAAAATCATATCTTCCAATTCTCTTATTATTTCTTTCAAGAACCATTTTTTTTTTCCCTTTCATTTACTAAATTAAATTCTCTACGTTCGTATAAATTATTCTTTACAAATATTTATAAAATAATCAAAAGGGTGGTCAATAAAATAATTCGAAAAAACACATTATTTTTTTGTTATAATTTTCACTAATAGCTTTTATATTATTATTATTATGAACTAATTTCTATAAATTTATGAATAAAAAAAGCATATAGATTTACAAAATTAAAAGTCAAAAACTTTTATCACGATATAAGGGGAACTTTATTTTTCCAAAAAACTTGGCCTTATCATCTTCATTACATTGACTTTTATTCAATGAGACTAAGTCAAAAGGTCTCTCTTATTTTATTTTAGTTATTTTGCTAATTATTATATTATGTATAAGTCCCTGAATTCACGTGATTTTAAAAATATTATTTATGTTCTATTGAGATTTTCAATTAGTAAAGAGGAGAAGCTCCAATCATCTCTTTGTCATGACGTAAGTCAGATTTATTATTTATATATCTATATGTGTATGTATATGTGTATATCTATATCATCATCATGATATTTCTCTCTGAGGTCATATCTACGCGTTAATTATTTTTCTATAAAAACAACTTTAGCCGCAAGAAAAAATCTAACGTTAGTATTCATCATCTAATTATTTATTTTAATTTCTAAAAATATAAATAAAAAATTATTTATAATAATGCATCTAATACGTCTAAAGTAATTCGTTTGCCAAACATATATTACAAAAAATCCCCTTAAAACAAAGGCTAAAACTTTTTCCCTATTTATTTCTTATACGTTAGAGAGTGGCATGAAGCCTATTTATTACCTAGTCGTCCTCTAGCCAAGCCAAAATGGGCAATCATTAACTAGGTTCTTCTGTAGGAATAAAGGAGTTAGAATGGTGATGAGTAAAAGCTCACACTAAAGAGAAAACGTATGATAAATTAACATGAAATATCATCATCACTAGTATGATATTGTCCAATAGAGAAATTGTAAGCACTTTACTAACTAAGCAGAGAAGAAAGTTTTAGTAATAGAGTCTTTATAGTGCCAACTAGAAATGTTGAGAGAGCTGGTATAACCCTCCATCAAGCAATGAGAGGAGACTAAAACGACGTCGTTTTGAGAAACCCCAAAACGGTGCCGTTTTAGGTAAAGAAAAAAAAAACTGGAGGCGTGTTTGCATCTGGTCGGGGAAGGTGAAGAGGCAGAGACGTACATCAACCGAAAAAGGAGGAGATGAGACTTGCACGACGAGAAAGAAGAGTTGTGCAGGACTCCTCCCGCCCCTCCCTATAAAACACAAAGGGAGGGAAGGAATCGGTGCAGGAAG